TGTGTGTGTGTGTGTGTGTGTGTGTGTGTGTGTGTGTGTGTGTGTGTGGTTAATTGGAGATAAGGGTCTCTTTGACTGTGATACTCAGGTCTTAGCCTCCTGCATAGCTAAGATTACAGGTATGAGCCTCCAGCTCTCAGCTAAGATGCATTTTTTTAAATGTTTAAGCAACAAGAACAAGAATCATATCTTTTAATAATAACCACTTAATCATAATACTGTCAGTCCTTAGAACTATTAACCCAAAGTATAAAGTAAGGATGTATATTTATATGAGGTAAAACACATGTTCAGGGCAAGCAAATATTTTTGTTTCTTGAAAGATAAGACAAAATCTTAACAATGAAAATAATTCTATGCAAAAAAAGAAACCCACCCTAGCAATATACTAATAAAGGCTGCCATACAGATAAAAAGGGTGATGTGACAAATATGAACACTTTATCTTTCCAAACAGTAAGAAGAAGCAAGTAGCTGATATTCAAGTTAAATGAAGTGGCCAAAAATTCTGACAAGCTGGGAAGCTGGGACTCACGACTGTAATCCTAGCTTCTCAGGAGGCTGTGATCTGATGACTGCAGTTTGAAGTCACCCAAGGCAAAAAAGTCCAAGAGACTCTTATCTCCAATAAACCACCAGAAAACCAGAAGTGGAGCTTTGGCTCAAAGTGGAGAGTGTTAGCCTTGAGCAAAACAGCTCAGGGACAGCACCCAGGCTAAGTTCAAGTCCCAAGATCAAAATTTAAAAAACATTCAGACAAGTTATAATGAACACTTGCAATAACATTTTCTTCTGAATTATCCATAATGCACTGGAGGCTAGCACTTCACCACATGAGCCATAGCTCCACTTTGGCTTTTTGCTGGTTAACTGGCTTTTTCTGGCTGGGCTGGTTTGGAATCAAGATTCTCAGATCTCTGCCTTCTGAGAAGCTAAGATTGTAGGTGAAAGCCACCAGCACCCACATAACACGTGACCATTTTCATAATAAATATTTATAAGTATGGCTCATATTTCAGCCAACCTGAAATTCACTAAAATCAATTTCTTAAAATGTACCTGCTTTTGTCAGGATTATCATGGACATTGCAAAATACTAATTACCAAAGAAAACAAAAAGATCCATAACTGATAAAATTACAAGACTATCTATACTATAATACAGAATTTCCTAACTACATTTGGAAGATGCATTTATTTTCATATCTCTTTGTGTTT